GCTTTTTGCACCCTTAATAAGTGGTAAAAATTTCAGCCCGAAAGCTTCATTAGCTTGGCTTTGGCGGAATTTGTTATCTAAGAAGATGCTATTTTCAATTCATTTTTCCCAAGCTCACAGGCGTTGTAGAGTTTCGATCATTAGTTGTTTTTGTACCTAAATAGTTGTATTGACATATGCATTTACTGAGAATTTAATTTTTCAAATTTAATTTGTTTAAAAATGACTGAAAAATTGTTAATATTTATTCAATTCTGTCACTCTTTTGGTCTTTTAGAAAAAAATTAAAAACTACTTTTGTTTCACCCTCTTCAAGCGGCTCACAAGGGATTATTTTTCCACAGGAAGTAACCCCCTGAATTTGTTCACACTTATGTACTTACACCCTGTATAGTGCTGTTATCTTATTATATTATTCAAAACCATTTGACCCCATTAATTATTAAAAATTGTCAGTTGCTTCGGGCAATACTGGGTTATATGACATGTCAGAAATGACAGGGAGTTCATTCAAAGAATTACAAGCATAGTCCGGTCAAATTAGTCATAAAAATAGTGGTCAAATAACGAAAATTCCGACAGAGCTAAATTTTGGTGAAGACCTTGGGTACACCATTCGTAATAAAGTGTCAAAAGTCCCCATCGATCCCATGTGTGCTAAAAAAGTTATTCGGGGTCAAAGGTCAAAATTTGAGGTGTTTTGGAATTTTTCGAAAACGATAAGTTTTATAAAAAAAGTAGCCCTGACAAAAATTATGGATCTGAAAACTATCTACAAAAATGGTGCTTATACTTTTTTTTTCTAAGAATCGCCGTTCGTGAGATATCACAATTCTAAGAGTTGAAGGCATTGTAGATAATTTTAAGATCTATAATATTTGTCTGGGCTACTTTTTTGATAAAACTAACCGTTTCTGAAAAAAAATTGAAATAACCTCAAATTTTGACCTTTGACCCCGAATAACTATTTTAGCACACATGGGATCGATGGGGACTTTTGACACTTTATTTCTAATGGTGTACCCAAGGTCTCCGCCAAAATTTAGCTCTGTCGGAATTTTCGTTATTTGAAATGTCTATTTTGACCGGACTAAAAACACTTGCGACAATAATCTATCATTTCTAAGTCAGCATAAAATCTATTTTATTATAATGTTGCCAACATAACATTACTGTTAAGAAGATTATCCAGATACAGTTATATTCTAAGATATTATAACGCAGTAATAGGAGCTACAGTGATCGAGGTGACAAAGGCGAGACTCAAGAATTAGACACTTTCCTTTAGATAAAACATATTCTTCAGTGAAAAATTGATCCACCCTGTGCGTATACCCGCTGTTCTAAACCCGTGGATGATATAATATTTCATTGGCCTACTCGGATCATTCACCACAAAATAATCCGTCTTGATACACTCGACGACAAGATTTGTTGACTCTTATTATTTTAGCCGGTAACAATAGTATTTGAAAAAACCGCTTAATATGTTCATAAATTCTCATTATGTGTCTAAATTTATGGGCAGGCCGTTCGGGGACCATATGGTTTTGATTTAATGTACCATAAGAGATATTTATTCATGTCGTTCTTACCGTTCGCTTCCAGTTATATTATTTACATGCGTACGCCCGCCAAGATTTAATTGCTTCTGAAAAATTCCGCATTATCTCGGCGGATGGGTGGTGTCCGGCNGATTTTTGAGGCTTTTTACACCCTTAATAAGTGGTAAAAATTTCTGCTCGAAAGCTTAATTGGTTTGGCGTTGGCGGCATTTGTTATCTAAGAAGATGCTATTTTCAATTCATTTTTCCCAAGCTCACAGGCGTTGTAGAGTTTCGATCATTAGTTGTTTTTATACCTAAATAGTTGTATTGACATATGCATTTACTGAGAATTTAATTTCTCAAATTTAATTTGTTTAAAAATGACTGAAAAAATGTTAATATTTATTAAATTCTGTCACTCTTTTGGTCTTTTAGAAAAAAATTAAAAACTACTTTTGTTTCACCCTCTTCAAGCGGCTCACAAGGGATTATTTTTCCACAGGAAGTAACCCCCTGAATTTGTTCACACTTATGTACTTACACCCTGTATAGTGCTGTTATCTTATTATATTATTCAAAACCATTTGACCCCATTAATTATTAAAAATTGTCAGTTGCTTCGGGCAATACTGGGTTATATGACATGTCAGAAATGACAGGGAGTTCATTCAAAGAATTACAAGCATAGTCCGGTCAAATTAGTCATAAAAATAGTGGTCAAATAACGAAAATTCCGACAGAGCTAAATTTTGGTGAAGACCTTGGGTACACCATTCGTAATAAAGTGTCAAAAGTCCCCATCGATCCCATGTGTGCTAAAAAAGTTATTCGGGGTCAAAGGTCAAAATTTGAGGTGTTTTGGAATTTTTCGAAAACGATAAGTTTTATAAAAAAAGTAGCCCTGACAAAAATTATGGATCTGAAAACTATCTACAAAAATGGTGCTTATACTTTTTTTTTCTAAGAATCGCCGTTCGTGAGATATCACAATTCTAAGAGTTGAAGGCATTGTAGATAATTTTAAGATCTATAATTTTTGTCTGGGATACTTTTTTTGATAAAATTTACCGTTTTCGAAAAAAATCCAAAAAACTTAAAATTTTGATATTTGACCCCGAATAACTTTTGTAGCACACCCCATGTGTGCTAAAAAAGTTAGTGGTAAGTACTTCCTAAATACACGAACTAAAAAGGCAATGTATGATATTGTTTCGTGTGTGTTTTTTTTTATAAAAAGACTACGACATAGATCTTGAACAACTTTGCCGACATATGTGTGCAAACAAACACCGATTTGAACTTTAATAAACTTCCACCTATCTGTGTGTAAAAAAATCGTAAAAATAACGACCAAAGTAGAGTAATGGAAGGGGCTTTCCGACCACTATCACTTTAGGTGCATTCATAAGCTCGCAGTCAAGTCGCAGGTATACAGCGCTTAGTTATAGTTATCGGTGTAACACTTTTGCTGTCATATAAGTAGTGTGATAACTGGTCGGAAGTTGTGATTTTTTATCAAGTTTTTGCGCCTGTTCAAGGGAATGCTTGATAGGTGGTTTGAGGTGAGTGACTGTTCACCTTAACACAATTCAAACTTGTTTTGTTGTACTGTAAAAATTTACAGGGTGTTGCATTGATCCAATCACCTAAATAATCCGAGAAGTAAAACTTAATTTTGTTTGTTCAAGGGTTTTAAAAATGTGATGTTGATATTTAAAGCTGTCTATAAATAATAAAAAAATAATAAGTGTTTACCGAGGTATTAACAATATTTGCTGTGTACCGGGTGGTTGAATTTGGTTGGTTTCCAAGGGTTGCTGCGAATCTGTCATATGCAAAATCTGATAGACGAGTTTAGAGTTCTTTTTTTTTTTCGAGAAAATAACAACGTCCCAAACCGGTATTTTGAAAATTTTATATTTCCGCAAATCCACACAAAAAATAATAAGTACATATTTTTAAAAGATAAAGTAAATGGATTTTTCAAGATAACTCAAAAAGGGTAAGGGCTAGAAAAAAGTTTCTTATAAAAGTTGTAAAGCATACAATTCTACATAAAAATGGTATATTGACTTTTTCTTGTACTATTAAAATTAACAGAGTTAGGGAGGCTAGAAGTTAAGGGATGATTTTAGAAATTTAAAAAAATTATAACAAGCAGAAAAATTCATGAATTTTATAATTTTTTTTCAATCCACTCTTTAATGAAAAAGAAGAAGAAGAAAAATATATATTTTTTGGGTATTTTGCCACCTTTGAAAAGATTTTTAAAAAATTAGTAAAATAAACCGTTAATCCAAATGGATGAGTAAAGGGTTATTTTTATGAAAATAGTTTTGCCTAACCAAAAAATCTCACCCAGAAAAAAAACCAGGCAAATACACAATAGAAAATCACTTGATATCGCGCACTTTAAAAAGGTCATTAACGTTTCGAAAATGCACAGTTTTCGTCTTCTGAACTTTTTTGACTTTTTTCGTTTTAACAAAAAAGTAGAAATTTTTTTCCCTTATTTGTGGTAAAATTTAATGTTTTTTACTTGTTTATTGATGTTTCCAAATGTAAATTAATCAAAGAAATTTTTGAGCCATACGGATCAGTTACGGGTTATTTTCATTAAACAATTTCTGCCTCTGCCTAATCAAAAATCGTACATTGTAAATGGCAGATCAGTAACAAAAACGCATCACTATATCACACACTTTATGGAACTACCTATATTATGTATGTGACACCAAGTGAAGTATGTGGGCTAGCTGATAGATAACGTGTGGTATGACGTCACACATCGCTTCCGTTTCATTAGTTATTTTAAAATTGTTGAAAAAAATACGATTTTTTGGTCATCAATCAAAAAAAAAATTTTTTAATTATATATGGTTATAAAAGTGTAAAAATAATTTAGTATAATAATAATTTTTAGTACTGATCATTGTTTATTATGATAACTAGTACTAGTATCTCTAAAAAATTGTGTGCCCTTTCTAAATTTTAATTTAAACCCACGGTACGCTATAAACTTTTTGAAATTTTCTTAATTAACAATCCTATTAATGGAAAACCACGCAATCGATCGTTCCAAAATTTTTAGGGTAGAATTGACATATGTTTTACTATTTGTTGACAAAGTTTCATCAATATTTATAAATATTTATTTATTTTAAAAATTGCTTTAAATATACATATGATTTTCTAATATTTTTCGCCCATTGTTAATGCAAAATTCAACTTTTTTGATTCACAGTTGTTGTAGCTTTATAGAAAATCGTCAAATAAACAAAAAATGAAGATTTTTAAAGGGAAAAATATGTCGCAAAACGGGTAATTTTTCGTTCTTTTTGTATGTTTGTTGTTCCCCTTAATATACCATTGATATTTTGGAATAGGCAAACTCGGATTCTTATTCTACATAATATTTAGGATTTTTCTGTAAAACAAAATAGATGACTTCAAACACAAACGCCAAAACCTACTTTTACTGCTCTATCGCCTGGACTATATGTGTACTTTGTGAATACGAATTTAAAAAATACGCTAAATAAAATTTTGAGTCATCTATCCACTCTGGGATCACATAGATAAGAGTAGATGGGTTAGTTGAATGGAAAGTCATCACTAGTTTTAACCTCAAAGTATAGAAAGTTTTCTCGTTGCGTTAAATCTTGTATGTTGGCCAAAATTTGAGAAAAAAATACATTTTTAACACATTACTTTACTGCAAAATAGAAAATGCAATGTTAATTTTATTTACGTCAAAGTTTCAATGAAAACAGATTAGTTAAACTGCCTTGTCATGTACTTAACAATGAAAATCTCTGCAGCAGAATAGAAAAAAACCGTGCCCCGTGACATCATAGGCGCATAACAATTTCAAGTCCCTGCCCCGTGAATTATCTTCAAGGTAAAAATTGTCGGCGTGTGTGAGTACGTACTTTAAAATAATTTGTTCCACCATCAGCTAACCCATACAGTCATTACGTCGCGTGTTATTTTGTTTATACACATCGCATTCGTCGATTTTATCACACCTGTGTGACATAATTATGCGGAATGTTGAAATTTACAAACAAAAATAAATCTTTATGCATTTATTTTCCGAAGTAAACGCTTTGATTTAACGCCAACTATGGTCAAGAAAGAGAAAAAACCAAAGCAGTGGCAGAACAACTAATAAATTTAATTTAACTTCCGTTTGATTTCAGATTAGAATGTTATTGGACGTAAGGGGACACTTAAGTGTGGTTAACAATCCGTGAAAATCGTGATGACTGACACTTTAATCGGTGCGTAGATTTTAGTCGTTAATTAATAGTGGAATAAACATGTTGTGGATGGTTTGAGGACAATGGGTGTCAATTTAGACAGGTGGACGTGGTTGAAGCTAATAGAGGTGGTGAGTATAAACTAATGTTTTATTTTAAAAATTGTATACAGAGTGATATAGAAATCAGTGTACATACAAAGAGAATATCAGAAAATAAGACGCGTAATGGATAATTTTTTAAATGTATGGGGTCAATTGCATAATGGAATCTTCCTATTTTATATTTTTTACCTTTCTATCTTTCTATCTAGGAAAAAAAGAAGAAAGTTTTAGGCAATACAGGGTGGTCCCGAGGTAATGGGCCAAAATTCATGGGTAGATTCCCCAAGCAAAAATATTGCGATTTAGCTGAACTTACCTTAGTCCAAAAGTTGATAGTTAAATGTGAAATATTATTTCAGTTTTTTTTTTCATTTATTCATTAACAAATACAAATATCCTTACAAAATTTTGGGGTTTGAAGTTTTTTGGGTAGAAGAATTGAGATCTGTCCACATTTTGGTTAAAGTTCATAGAGGGCGCTAGCTGCAGTAGAACGAATGTGATAAAAACGGCATAACTTTTTTTATACTTTAAAGTATCTCATCTTTAGTATCAAATTCTTATTTTCCAACTTTTTTACACAAAAAAGGTATACTTTATGAAAATACCTATCTCGCACCGTTTTCGGGATATTTGGCTTTGAAACTTCCAATGCTGTTGCATTAAATTACAATTAAGTACCTACAGGTACTATCAATTTAGCGATAAAGTTTCTTAAGTAGTATTTGGACAAATAATTGACGTTTTGTCACTTGTCTTATTGCTGTCATTTGTAATTTGTATGTCAATTCCTATTAAGTATAATTCGTATCTAATTAAAATTACATATTAGCTTACAATTTAAATTGTCTACTCGTATACATAAATGTGAGATAGAATGCCGAAATTTTCGTTTTTGGTGTTACATGAAATCAGTTGTTTATGTTGAATCTATAAACACCTGAGAAGAACTTTAGCAGCAGGTTTTAAATGCTGCAGTCATTTCGCGTTAAGAATTTATCCTTTAAAATAAGATAATCTTTTAATAAACGCCTTGATAAATGTATTGAAGCTAGAGGTGGACATTTTGAGCAATTATTGTCAAAAAGGCATATTTTTTACTAATGTTTACTATTTTACTGTTCATTACAATTTTTAATTCTTAATAAACCCTTGTTTTTGACATTTCTAAATTATTTTAATTATTTAGCATTGAAAGTTTCAAAGCCTAATATCTCGGAAACAGACAGCTACTTTCATAAAGTCCACCTTTTTGTGTAAAAAAAGTCGGAAAATAAGAATTTGATACCAAAGATGAGATACTTTAAAATACAAAAAGGTTATGTCGTTTTTAACACATTCAATCTACGACAGCTGGCGCCCTCTATGAACCATAACCAAAACGTCAACAAATTTCAATTCCTTTACCCAAAGAACCCTAAACCCCAAAATTTTGTGTAGATATTCGCATTGTTTAAGAAATAGATCGAAATAAACTAGAATAATATTTTACATTTAACACCCTGTATCTCTTTAACTATCAGCTGTTGGACTAAGGTAGTTCGGCTAAATCGTAGTATATTTGCTTCAGAAATCTACCCATGAATTTTGGCCCATTACCTCGGGACCACCCTGTATATAAAAAACAATTGATGCATTTCGAAGATATAAACGAAACTTTTGCTTCTTTAATTGTAATTTTTCGATTCGTAGTATATAATAAGATCCACTTCTTATTTGTGGAAGGGCGAAATGGGCGTTGACTATTAGACGCCTTCATTATAGCCATCCTTGTCTATCACATGGATTTCTATGGCTTACTTTATCGCTCTCACGTAACTTCAGATAGACCATCGGTACACTCCTACCCGGTATATATATTTTGATAGTTTACACAATATTTTGTTTTATTTACTGATCCTAGACATAACCTCATTTATTTTAGAGCACAAAGGCCCACCTATACATTTGTTATTTAGTGAACGGCTTTCGAGCTATTAACGAATTTTTAAAAATCATGCTAATCTATCTGTGAACCATTACCTACTAAAAAAACTTAGTTGGTGATTGTCACTGAAAAATAACATGCGCTGTCACTATGGAGAAATAAATGACCCAAATTTAAACGATTTCCAATAAAAAATTTGGAAGTTGTCATTAAAAAGAGTTTTTTTTTTGGCACCCTGAACAACATTTTTCGGCATCCGTATATTACTTTGATCTCGCAACAAAATGTTGTACAACTATACTTTTTACCATTGTTTCCTATATAGAAAAGTAAAAAGATAAGATGAAGTAAAATGTCATGTCAGTAACCCTGTACAATAAGCTTAACTAATTACTTACCTTAATATATAGGGTGTTTAGTAACAAAGGACCATTCTTCAAGGGTTGCTTTCTCAGATGAAAATAAAGTTGCTTCATTGTTGCTTTCTTAAAAAGTTACGAGCCTTTAATGAAAAAAACACATGTATATTTAATTTCTTTCATACACTTCAATACATACACTAGTAAAAACCTAACCTCAAAAAAGTTATGTCGTAAAGTGTCACTTGGAGAGATAGTAGGTAGCGATCTCCAGCAGATGTTCAAAAATGAAAAACAATGACTATTTAGCACCCTCAAAAAGTTATTTCTACCAAGTTCCAATGCAATGGAAAAGATATGATCTGATTGAAAAAAAAATAATATTTGGTGCTAGGCTTCCATAGGAAAAAAACGTCTTATTTTTTATGTTCTATAAACTCCAAATGTTTTTACACTGAGTTCTATATCACACCGTACGTTTCGACATTTAAGTGGATAAAATAATGTTTTTATTAATGTTATAAACAAAGACTTTTAACTCAAAATTATTACACTGCTACATCTAATCACCTGATGTATTCCAAACTTAGTATTTAGATAATCTTTTGCGTACAATTTAATGCTAGATGTATCTTGAAGAGAAACTTATGCTTAAATTTTATAAAGAGCAGACCAGCTGACAGTTTACTGTTAAATACTGCTTATTAATTCCTTATTGAAACCGTCGTTTTCTCTTACATTAAAAACTGTGCCATAACTGGAAATATTTTAATTTGATTCGATGAATAAATCTTAAGAAATCACATACACGAATCTAGCATATAATAAAACTATTTGTTTGCTGCTTATAAGTATTGATTTTTTTTTTAATTATGTTTTATGTAGACCAAACTGTAATTGCGCTGTTCACTTTTCTTTATAGAAAGTCTGCAATCGGAGATAGAAGGGATTTTCCATTTTAATGCCCTGTCAAAAGACAATTACAGTATTTTATTATTTATTAGCAAAACTTAAAATTTAAATTGGGATATTTTAGATTTTTTAGACTTTTTATTAAAAATCGATATTGCATATCGTTATGAAACATTACCGATTCCATAATATTTCACAAGATAAATTCGTTGCTCCAGGGTTAGCATTATTAATAAAAATTATTCGGGCGCAGTTAATTTTTTTTTTCTGACTAAACCCCGTATTTAAGAATTTCTTGAATTCTCGAATAACTTTGTTAAATAGGTACAGTTTTTAACGAAAACAAAAATAACTACCTCACTTTGCTTAGGGAAAATTTCACATTTTGAAATTTTTTGGACGCCCTGTATGTTTTATTACATACTTGATTACTGACCATGGCTGGGGACCGCCTAGCCGGATGTCTTGGCCGGTGGATTTCGATCTGCCGAGGTAAGCATCACGGACGCAGGCTGGAATTTGGATGGGTGACCTAAGGCAGGCTCGGGGACGTGACTGTGGCAGCCTACCAGAGACCTGGGTCGCTCAACATTTTCCCGATAAATGGTAATGAGAACAGAGCAAAGAAAATCTCTGTAACTCAGGACCATGCTATCATACATAAACTGTACGAGACTTTACCGCCAAGCCACCCGTGTAGTAAATAGGATGGTTTGAAGAAAAGTACTCGAGTAATGAAGGAGGAGTGTACAAGGGGCCTAATACCACTTAAAAAACTTTTTATAAAGAACAACTTTTTCTCGAAAAATCGATAATAAAAAAGTTTACAACAGCGCGGTACCCCATCCAGGGACACACTGTATATTCGTTTCATCTTTCTCGTTTCATTCGAGTTATTACTTTTTTAAATTACATTACCGTTATCGAGCCTTTCAGTGTATTTAAAATAAAACTACAGACTCGTTCGTTTCTCAAAAAAAGTTTATAGGATTTTTGTAATAGAGACCAATCGTTGCATAACAGTGCATGCCATGAAAATATGCTTTCCGTGCAATTTTAACAGATTTACTTTCATAGTTATTTGATCTAAGTTCAAACTACGAAAGCATAGCGAATTTGGTATTTCATTCTCATTCATTCCCTGAGAGTGTTACTTTCTCTTAATTGCAATATCAAATTATACACACATTTAAATTCACTTGTTTGGAAAATGAGACAGTGTTTGTATTCAAATAAAAGTTACGGTTATCACGAGCTCAGATTTACAACCAAATTAGTTCTGCTTCTTTAAATTCTTTGTGTCCAAGCATGAATGAGAACTTGCTGCAGAAATTTTATATCACAACATTTTTTAAAACGACGATTTTCAGATCCTCGTGATTATATGCCTCGTCTTCAAGCGAGTAACCGACGACGAGGCGTTCAGCCTGCGCTTATACCTGCAGAAGCTCTCCAGGGAGTGGAGTCTGCTGAACAACATCACCTGGAGCAGAGTAGGGGCCGCCGTAGCGGACGCTACCTTCGGGGGGTACCTTATAATCACCGCCGCCCTGTTCATAGGGAGGCTGACGGGGGAGCTGCCCACGCACAAACGTGTCACTGAGCTGGTGCTGCTTGGGATTGGGTCGATCTTGTTCATCGCGATGGGTCAGTATTTAGACAAGAACTGATGGTTTGCATCCGTTGCAGGAAACTGGAAAGAGTTCTCTTTTTTATCAACAACTCGTGGAAAAAGTTTTTCGATGTCTCTTTTCCTTCAGAAGATATGCGAACAGATAAATTAGGTACTGGTTTGAACAAGTATGTTACTGACTTTGTCGGAGTTGCGTTGGAAAACGAAGTTATTTGTGGGAAGGTTTACTACTAATATTCTTAATAAAAAAGTGGACATGATCTGGATCTAGAGACAAATAATTTATGTCAGTGATGAGTATAAACTTTAGGAGTACTTGTCTTCTACGGCAACGCTGACAAAATCAGTAACAGATTTGATAGAACCAGTATTTTGCTCGATACGTATCGCCTTATATCTTTTGAATGAGAAGAGAGATATTGAAAAAAATTTTAATCAAAAGTTGTTGAGAAACTTTTTGACATGACGTAATAGCCGTTGCAGCCCTTAGGGACCTACAAGATCAAGTTAAGTACCCATGACATGCTATAAAAACCGCTCTTGTGGTTTTCTTTTTACTCTTTCCGTTTTCCTATAATGGCGGCTGACCATCAGTTTGTTAACCATATCTTTTCCAGAATAGAATGTAGTGCAATGAAATTTGGTACAGGTAAATTTTTGAGGATGCTAAATCAATCAGTGTTATTAGTTTTTGACTATCTACTAGAGGGTGCTAACTACAACACTTTATAACATTTCATGACAACTTTAGGTTAGTATATGTTCCGCAATTTTTTGTATTGTGAATTATTTTTCAAATATTAAACCTACCAATTATTCTTATTAGTACGACTGATGTTTTTTTATACAATTAAATCTCGATAATTACACTAATTTGGAGTGAGGAATAATTTCAATTATTTAAACCATTTTCGCTTTTAATGGGGTACCATGTGTGGTATGCCTTGTTGGTACGGAATCCTTGGGCGTTGTCCTTCGTCCATCTTATTGCATTGTTTGTTTATGTCGGTTGGGTAATAACTCGGATTTATTGTTAACCATACTTGAAAATAATCGCTGTTTGATACTATTAGGTAGATTGAAGGTTAATGTTAATGTGAGATACCCATTCGTTGAGAATATTATTTAGAATTTAAATGCATGGTGTCGCAATCTCAAGAATAGCTGAAAAACTATTTTTATTTAGACGATTTTCTTCAACTGCAGAGACAATGGAAATGTTCAATTCTTAAAAATAGATGTATTTTAAATGTTTTTGATGAAGGAATTAGTTTATTTAAATTGGTGATTTTTTTCTTATTTTAATATAACATGCAATAAGCCAAAAATTAGGAAACTTACTAATTAACTGTTATAACAAATTTTTTATGTAGGAAAACACGTTTTTTCGCTATATTTGAGGTTATGTTACACTATGATGTAATTTTTCTCCAAAAAACTTGTCATGGCATCTGATCTACTACTTTTTATCTTCAAAGTCAATTAAAACAGCATTTTTTGTCTATGCGCCATGTTTCATCCGCCATTTTGAATTTTGTAACTCTGACTTCAGATTCGTAATCAGCGACCTCGAATATCTGAAGAACCAGTGGGAAATTAAATGGATTTTGAAGGGGAAAGGTAGTAGGTGCTTTCGATACCATAAAGAGGGAAAAATACTTCGTGATGTAACATAACCTCAAATATAGAAGAAAACCGTGTTATTCGCACGTTAATGTTAGGATATCTCGAAAACCTGACGTGATGGAGCAATTCTGATGTCAGATTCAAAGCGTCAAAAACCTTGAGAAAAGTATATATAGCCTGATTCCTGGTTTGAAATTTTGTCGTTCTGTAATAATTGAAGAAAATGGAAGGTAACCATCATTACTAGATACCTAACAAACATATTTTTTTTGTACTGAAATTGTCAAAATAAAACCAAAAAATCGCAGGTTCCACATTTTTAGCCACCTCGACGTACTATCGAAATTTAAGATTTCTTCCATGAATTTTCGTCTGTATCTCGGAAAGCAAACGAGATGCAGAAGAACCAAGCCCATTTTCAAGCTTCATACACTCAACCCACAAAATAACCTCGGGAAAATAAACCAAGACCTCTTACGAGTAATTGCATCTACCACCAAAACCGTACAACAAACCTCAAGTCATTCTCTTCTTTCCAGGAAGCCTTTCCTTCGCCGCCCTAGACTCCGTACCCCAAGACCTAGTCGACAACGCGGCAATAGTAGGGACAGTGTCCCTAGTCACTGGCGCGCTATTCCTCCTCGATATGGGCGGTCCAAAAGCGAAAAAACCAACCGAGGCCCAACCCAAGTCCAAGAAAGCCACCAAACCCAAATCCGTGGAGCCAAAAAGTATCTCCCAACACGTTAACGACATAGAGAAACAGATAGAGCAATCCGAGAGGACACATTTCGACAGGTACGATCCCCAGAAGAGCTTCAAGGAAAGTAAGAATAACGGGATAAGGAATGGACGGGCTAGACACGATGGGGTGGTGTTGGACGTGGAAGGGACAAAAAATATGAAAGGTGAGTGTGTGGTATCTAATGAAATAAAATCCAATTTATCACTCTATTGCGACATACTGAAATCGTTGACGAATAACCAGTGTAGTAAAATTTATATAACCTAGGGAAGTTAAAATGATAACCAAGGAAGGAGTTTTGACCACTTTACATCAAAATTAAACTTACTGTTCTTATTTCTCGAAGGTTACCAACAAATGAAGGATGATTTTCCGAGGAAGTTCGGCATCTATGGAAAAGACGTGGTGGACGGAGACGGAAGTGAAACAGATGAAACTGACGACCTCCGAATACCTCCCAAGATGGAGCAACACTCACCAGTATGGAGCAATATAAGAAAGGGTAGAGAAAATGGTTTTATTTGGTATAGGTGATTTGGATTGTCGGGTTCACGTCTATTTCATTTGGATGGCAAAGCTTTGCTCAATTGAAAAAATACCTGACACAGAATTATATTACTACTAATAACTACTAATAGTAACTACTAATAAAATTATTAACCCAATTTTTGCTCAGGGGTAAAGTGCCATTACAAAAAAATGTTGCAACAAGAGCTTGCAGTACTCAACACTACAATGTTTGATTTTTGGTTGTCCAAATGAAATACCTTCAGTGTCTCTTGCTTCTGTATTGCATGATCTTTTATTTTTTGTACTTGTGAAACAAATAACATAGTTTAAGAGCTTCTAACCCAACACATGTAGACCAAATAAAGTAGTTTCACTTTCACACTGGCAATTTTATTTCTCCACTATGAAACAGCACTCCAGGCTCTCGAACTGGGTATGACTGGTTACATAACTATGAATCCGTAGTAAATATGGTTGCTTTTGGAAGGGTCTCGGTTAAAATAACAAAACGTTTAAAAAAATCTTATTTTCTCCTTCGGGAGGTAAAACAAACGGCGCTTTTCGAGGTACATAGTGTCTCAAAATATAAAAAGATATATTGTGCCAACCGCAAGGTCTATATGGTTGATTTCAGGTCAGTACGGCAGGTACGACATTATATCCTCCCCCATTGTCCTCCCCAAGCAAAAGGAGAGAGAAGAGGACCGTCCGCCTAGTAGACCTGGTGAACCAGGGTACGTCCAATATACGGCCCAGCATTGGGGCGAGACCAAATCCAAAACGCCGAGACACAGTCCCACGGAAGTTTAGAGATTTTTATTATTTCTTTTATAGTCTAAATAACGCAGTATTATTCGTAGGTGTATGTTTTTTATAAAATGTGAATTGTTTCCTTCAATAAAATTTTGTAGTCGTTTTTAATAAATGTTGTGTTTATTTTTACAGTATTATGGTTCTTTTTTTGGGAAAAACTGGAAATATGAAGTAAACTTTTACGTCTCGTGCTATTGATATCAAATTTGACATCCAGGTCTAAAAGACGTTGCCATTACCACTTGCAATATAAAGCCTCATCGCTGACGCATCATCACCTTATGACGTCACCACTAGTGGTTCTAATCGCAAGTGACAAAACCTTAATTCAATCATTACGGCAACTTTACAATATTAATTACATTTTAAAATGTAATTTTAAATAATATACAATCTTAGTTGTATAATAACGTATTTGTTATAATACTTATTTCAGTATACATTTGGGTGCTCTCTGATTTGTTGTGACAAAAGAAAAACAGTATCTAAATATTTGCAACACTGCAATAAGCAATTCACAAATCGAATTGGTAGTATGTTGATAAAATAATAAAAATACCATAAAAAATGGGAAATGAAAGAAAAATAAAATTTAAAATAAAGAGATATAAAAATAGAAATATATTTAGTGGGTATAAATCCGAAAAAAAGAAGAAAATAACGAAAAGTACAAAAACAAGATAGTTATCACAAGAAGAAGAGGATATGGTATGTCTAGGCAGAACGGGATCCTACTTTGCTACGGTCACCTGACAACCTGAAATTAATGCCTATTGATTTTTTGGAAAATAACAGCACGCTGCTGTTTAAAATAAAACATCATTTTTGTCTTAGCAGGTAGTTGAAGAAAAATACCTATATATTATGTAAAATGTAAATTATTTTCCTTCAACAAAGAACCCCGCACAAAATCAATGGAAAATGGGTCCCAGTCGATTCTGCTGAAATTGCAGTATATTACAGTTTTTGACTTTCTGATCAAAAGCTGATGAATAGTTTCAGAGATAAAGAGGGGGGAAGTATGTGATTTTGGCTGTAGGCGTGAATAAGCTTCGCGAAATCTCAAGTTGATGCATTCAAAATCTGAGGCATGTAATGAATTTTGACCAGTAGGTACAATGCTTTTGGGATCGCTGAACCTTAATTCGGGGATAGCTTAGCTATCTAAGGTCACCTGGAGGTCAGGTAAAGGTCGTTTCAAGGTCAAACTGGGGAAAATACTTTAGAATTTCACAGGTTATATTAGGAAGATAATTAACCGTGTTTTCTGGCCTGAAATGTTGGTTCCTGCATTGTAGGTACCTACTACTGGTCAAAATTCATACATGCCTCAGTTTTTGAATCCATCAACTTGAAACTTCGCGAAGCTTACTCAGACCTACAGTCAAAATCACATACTTCCCCTCTTTATCTCTGAAACTATTCATAGGATCACTTTGGGCCCATGACAACTTTTGATCAGAAAGTCAAAAACTGCAACATACTGCAATTTCAGTAAAATCGACTGGGATCCATTTTCCATCGATTTTGTGCGGGGTTCTTTATGTAGGTACTGTGTCAATATACATTTTTTTACATTATTACGATTTCCTAGTTTTTTTTTTTTGAAAAAAAGGGAAGAAAATAAAACAAGAATAAGAAAAAAATAATAAAATAAAAATAAAATTGTAATGAGATAAGGAAATATAGAAAATGGAAATACGACCAGTGGATAAGAACAAGAGTAAACCTGATTTAGAAACGACAACAATTAATAGAAGAAGTAAACAAAAGCAACAAGATTACCACAAACGTGAGATATGCACTGTCTAGATGCCAAGATATCGCAACATACAGGGTGATTCAACTTATCCAAAATTTGGTAATAATTGCGTCATGAAAAATGGGTCAATATCGTAAAAAAAAAAATTTGTAAAATCATTATAGTTTCCGAGAACAAAATTATTGAAGTTGTAGTATTATTTTCAACCTTTACATCGCTGGGCTGGGCTACTGTAGTCTCTAGCATCATTCGCCCACGGGGCCCCATGCGATTCCGAATGCTGAAATCCGATTTTAGTATTATCGTTGTTGCGATAGTGTTTACAATAGTTTTTTCGAGTGTCAAAAATGGCTTACGTGTATAGTTTTAATTTAAGGTGAAGCAAGACAACATTTGTATAAGTTCGTGGAAACGGGGTAAGAAGGGCCCGAATGTGTTTACACATCGGTGGACCAAATTTTGAACAGTTGTAACATCAGATACGTCAAATTATTTTATTAATTAAAACCACAAATTAATTCTATTAATTAATAATAACAATAGCGGCAAAAACAGTTGAATTTGCCGATTCAAAATAGGTGTTATAAAATTTTATTTCTTTCCTTCGGAAAGAAATTTTTAATTTTTTTCCATTAATTTTTTTATTACATTTTGCCTTGCGTAAGATCTGATTTTTATACAGTGGAGCAGTTTCCAGTGCAGTGTAGGAGTGTATTTTTAAAACATTTTCGAATCGCCCTTTTTGATTTTTTTTACAAAATTGTGTAAGAGTAAGTATATTCAAAAATATTTTTTAGGATAAATTCTCAATCACCCTGTATAACCACCACTCAAATTCGCAAGATGGCGCCACTATTGACAAATCCATACGATTTTTAGGAAGTACTAACCTTCGAATGGGTGTCAAAATTTCATGACTTTTTTATGTTTTCTGGAGTATCTGGCGAATTTTTTCTATTATTTCAAAATTACCACAGAGCGTTACTAAGACCACTGTAACTTGTGAATTAAACGTCAGACTGTCATGAAATTTTGGCACATATCGTCTGAATGTTAACACTTCCTTAAACCATATGGATTTGCCAATAGCCGCGCCATTTATATGTCATCCTTCCAACTTATTGAGTGATGGCTTACGATGAGACAAGGCTTAGAACGAAAACCTAGGTTGCTATGGCCACCTGACAGTCCGCATTTAACACCTATTGATTTTTTTTTAAATAACTACGCCAACGTTTAACACGAAGTACCATCTTTGTCTCAGTAGACAGTTGAATAAAAAGACGTAGGTATTTGGAAAATGTGAATTGTTTTCCTTTAACAATATTGTGTAGGTAATTAGTTTGAATAATATTTTTGCGTGTCCAGGAAAAAATGGGAACAATACATAGCTTATGACAATGAATAGCAGAAGTAGACGATAACAAGTAGTTGCTATAAGTGGGAGGGGGTTTGGGTTGTCTAGAAGTCAAGATGTCGCAATATTAATTACTAATCAAAGATCAGAATGGGAACTTATCTTGCTACGGCCACGCAACAGTCCGCATTTGAGACTTCTTGGTTTTTCGGGAAGGAACGGGACGTGGCAGGTTAAACAATCGACTAAGGTTTTCCGCAGCAGGTAGCTGAAGAGAAACATAACAAATAATAAAATATTTATTGCCTATTAAACACAAACACCAAATTTAAATACAAGTGATAAAACAGGCCGCTCCAATAAAACAACAGGGTCGCCACAGGCTTGATCCGAGTCGGGTGGGGACTCGAATCAAGCCGGCAGGAGAACAATCGAAGGCGGCCTCCGCTAAACAAAATACAATCGGCTACATGATACAACCTCGTCTTCTCACGGTAATAATTACAGTAGTAAAGGATAAAGTCCCATCGTGCGACAAAAGCCTCGGTCCCGAACATTTACTTTCTTCTGGCTTTTACTTTTTTTTCTCTCGCAGACTGTCTTGAGCAAAGGGGGCATACTTCACACTCGGTTACGCTACAACTAGATAAATATTGAACAGACTTGGAGTACGAGTAAAAATATTTAAATATAACAATAATGACTATCATACATCGGAAGTACAAAACATATCCATACAGTGGTATATACAGGGAGGTTAGGGCGCAGCTGAACAAGTTCCAGACGTGACAGCGGCGGAAGAATAAACCTACTGGCCATACGGAAGAGTATTTCAGGTATAATGGCCCGTGGAGGGAAAGAAACTACTGGTGCCTGGTGCTGTTCTCTTGCTCCAGGTTGATGTACTGCCTGACCAACCTGGAGATCTCGTGGGCCTGTTCGGTCTGCAACCTGGTGACTCGCTGCTGCAGGAGGTTGCCGCACTTCATGTCCAAGAACAGGGCGCCGTCCTCGGACCGCACCTTCCTGGTGCTGATCACTTCGGCGAAGGGCCAGTGGTGGACCGTCTCGTGGGTGTTCATGTCCAAGAAGTGGACGCCGCCCCGATTCAATGCCAGGATGTGTTCCTGCCAGTTCTCGTTCTCGCCCATCACCCTCTTCACGGCGAAGAATGAGCTCCCGAATAGGGGCCAGTTGCTGAGGACTTGCAACACCCTGTGCTTGGCCCTGGAGACCGGCAGTCCGGCCGCCTGGCCCCAGGAGGTCTGCACAAGGGCCAACCACTGGGGCGGTCGCGGTTCCCTAAGTCCCAGAACTGGTTTCGGGAGCAGGAATTTCACCTCCTTCAGGCTGGGGGAGTGGCCTAGATCCGCGGCTCTGTGGAGAAGAGCCGCGATAAGCGCCATGTCCCTCACGACGCTCGGGGGTAAGTTCGGGTTGCCCAGCCGCAACAGGAGGCCTTCCAGGTAGTCCGGGGCCACTTGGTTGAATAGCACTTCGGTGTAGAGCGCGCTGGCGTCGTGCTTCAGGGGATGGTACCACACGGACCTGCAGAAGATCAGGTAGAACGGTTGCGCCGCCTTGTGTAGCTCCGTGGTGACGTCCAGGATGTACTCGTCGGCGGCCAGGGGCATTGTGAAGGCGTCGCCTTGTACGATGCAGTACAGGCTGAACTCCTGCTGTTCGGCTTCGGTCTGGATGCCTATCAGGCCGCACAGCTCGCCGATGACGTCGGCAACCACGGTGCTGCATCTGGTGTTCACCACCCTCTCGGCTCCTCCGGGTAAACGGTAGATCTGCCTCCTGGCGCTCCTTCCCGCGCTCACGGCGGTGACTTCCTCCACGGAGGGGACGTTCTTGCGGCCCCCGCATCGTTGGGTCTTCCTCAGGTTGGAGAGGCAGACGGCGGCGGTGCCGTGGCATATCCTTCGCCTGTCGTTAGCAGCGCTGCTGAGGTGCTCGGTGAGGAAGGGCAGCAGGTTGTCGGAGCAGGCGAAATAGGCCGCCACGATGGAGAGGAGGCGCCAGGCGCGCTGGCAGGACTCGGGCTGGTCAGACTTGTTGCTGGTCGTCTGCTTCATGAGTTGGCAGTAGACCTCGTCGCGCAGCAGGGCGTATTTGTGACAATGCTAAAAAGAAAACAATATCAAAAAATGTGAAGGTGATTTTTTTTCGCCTTTTCAATCGCGGGTGGGTCGTATAGTTGCAAGCCGCGAAGCGGCGCGCATTCGCTTCTTTTATTTTAATTATTTTAATGTCCGCTGCAGCGGACTTGCTTATCTTTCAAATTGTTATCAAATGTAATAATAAAAAAAATGTCACTACCTAAGGTAGATAACCAGAACAAATTCTGAAAATGAGAAGTACTTATAATAAAGTTAATAATAAATATTTATTATTCAATTGAAATAAAATGTTTAAAATGCTGAATTTTTTTGTTTCTCAAAATGTACCTCCGAAATTTTCTCTTACAATAAATTTCACAAATTTTAACAAAAAAGTGTTCTAAAAAAGATGATAAAAATTATAATTTTATCATCAGTCAATAACACAGCCCCACAAAAAAAGTGGCAGGTCCGAAAGACAAGACCATGGTATCCATATGGTTTTCCGAATCCGAATCCGGTGTCCGTTTGACACGATTAGCTCTGGTTTAAGATCAGTTCAAGGTCAAATGCAGAAAATCAATTGTCAACAAACTAAACGTATGTATCTATACGTTTTTGGGGTCGCCGAATCCGAATCCGGTGTCCGTTTGACGCGATTAGCTCTGGTTCAAGGTCAAATGTAGAAAATCAATTGTCAACAAACTAAACCTACGAATCTACGCGTTTTTGGAGTCGCCGAATCCAAATCCGGTGTCCGTTTGACTCGATTAGATCTGGGTTGAGGTCAGTTCAAGGTCAAATGTGGAGAATCAATTGAAAACAAAGTAAACTTACATTTCTATACGTTTTGGGGGTCGTTGAATCCGAATCTGATGTCCGTTTGAAGCATTCAGATCTATTAAATACTTTCTAATAGAAATAAATTAATCAACATACGAAAGATACTTATATAAATATTTTGGTTTTAAATCTAAGCGAAAAATTTGATTGCGTTTGAGCAGAGAAAAAGGTTTCACCAATATATTAAAGAAGAGAGAAATTTGGGTGGCAATGAAACTATCACTGATATTGGTAGTCATACTAGTGATGACGAATATATTCCATATCACGTTGTGAAAAAAACAGGAACAATATAACAAAAGAAAGTAAATGATGTTCGAGATTTGCACCTGGCAGAGAATGGAGCCTAATATCATGGCTAAAAAAAATACTAAGCAAGCCGGAAAAATAAAAGCTTTTTACTATCAATACAGAAATAAGGAAAATTTTTCTAACAATGAAGAATTTTTCGTAGGTTGCTACAATCACTCCAAACATGGATGTTATAAACCTAACGCACATTGAAACAAGAGTGCCGTAATTTGAGGATAATCTTACAGGATCAAATACGAACAACATAAATGGCTTTACATTTGACCTTGAACTGAACTTAAACCAGATCTAATCGCGTCAAACGAACACCGGATTCGGATTAGGCGACCCCAAAAACGTATAGATACATAAGTTTAGTTTGTTGACAATTGATTTTCTGCATTTGACCTTGAACTGATCTTAAACCAGAGCTAATCGTGTCAAACGGACACCGGGTTCGGATTCAGTGACCCCAAAACCATATGGATACCATGGTCTTGTCTTTCGGACCCGCCACTTTTTTTTTCGTGGGGCTGTGTAATTAATATAGTCTAAACTGGTAAAGAAACTGCTATTTTCATTTCATAAGAAATGTTAAAAGTTTCTAAGCGTTTAAGAATTGAAATCTAGCACAACAGTGATAGATCTAAAAATAACTTCGTTGAACTCTTTCTAATAATGGGGAACGTGTAGATGTGGAGAGGCTTCCATACAACTGAGCCATATTCAAGTTTATGTTTCACAAACGTTGTAAATAATTGTATATAATAATTGGATGGTAGACTGATTCTTAAAATCACGCGAGCTTCATAAAATCGCAAACCTTTATATAAATTAGCGAAAAAACAGTTGTTAAGTAATATAAGGTTACCTTGAAGAGTTCAAAACAGAGTTAATGTGAAAATATAATTATTTATTGCAAATCTTTCGCAATATCATTAATAACGACAACAAATAGAAGAGGACCAAGCACGGACCCTTGGAGAACACCTGAACCTCGGATAAAGGTACTACGCGAACGATTTTAAAAGCGCATCCACGTCAAAACCCGAATGGACTTACCATTAATACCGTGTAGACACACTTCACTTCAGACATGTCGGGCGTCAGCGGTAGATCGCCGCAGTATCTCAAGATGCAGTCGAAACACTCAATGGACAACGGCGTGAGCTCTGGATCCTCCAGTCTCAACAGGGGGCCATCTAACGGCGCGCTTTGCCACTTGATCAGATCCGTTTGCTGCTTCCACGTCCATTCTTTACGTTTCTCTTTGGATTTTACCGACGAGTCCATCTTCAGCAGTTCCAAACTGGAAGAGGAAGACAAACCAATCGGATAATATACGTGAAGTATTAAATAGACAACAAAAGGTTCGAAGTGTGAGAGAAATTAAAATCAACAGGACTGGATCAAGAGAAAGTTCTATTGTAATAGTATATTTATGTGTCTGTCGTTAATATATCTGCTGAAAAGTGGAACTTACGATTCCTTGTCTGGTGTTTTAATACGTGAGAATACAGGAGCTATTATATTGAGTAATTTTTGCAAATTTCATAAATATTAATTTCTATTGTGCGATGGCAAATTAATTGTTCATCGAAATGAAATTGAGAAGATTTATTGTCCGTTTATTAATTATAATAATACAGCAATAAACACAAAAGACGCGACTTTCATCAATTCTACCGCTGGGATTACTTAAACTGCAAAAATATTCCCAGAATAAGCAGCTGTTTCATAATGTTTTAAATCATTGTTCCTTTGAATAATTTATTATTTATTTTTTATTATAGTAATTACGTAACTTAATTCGTATTATTTTTTACCACAAACGCTAGCTCAACATGTAAAAGGTTGAGTGAAGGAAGGGATGGTGTATTATTATTTCGTACGACTGTTTCATTTAAAGGGGAAGAAAGCACCTTCTCTTCGTCCACTTTAAAATATTCCGCCGCAATTAAATATGCAGTTACAGAAACGCTATCCAGGTAGACAGATGATACTACAGTTACAAAGAGCGATAATCGAAAAAGTTGGCGCTGATATTTTCTACCTCGGAAATCGCGATGCCATATGGTTACTGGAGCAAAAAATGTAAATCTAAATTTCATCCAATAATTACGGTTATGACTGATGGTCTGCTTTGTCAGTATGGTAATAAACGCAAAATATTAATAATGCGATTCGTTGTTTAGCCAGTTAAATATGTAGGTAGCCCACTTTTTCCAAGAATGTGGCATTTTGTTTAGAATAAGTGGAGTACGATTTATAAAACTGGTCTCCATAAAAAGCTGGTTTTTGAAATAGTGTATTCAGGACTTGTGCGGTTTTAGATGTATTTAATTTCTACGTCTACACATTTTTCAGGCGTAATTTAGAAAATGTTATTTGTATTTTATTTTTTAGTTTATACTTCAAACTCAACACAGATATGAAAGCGTCACAAAAGGCACAGAATGTTGATTGAAAGTAAAATTAATTTGGTGTACACAAAAAACTAAAGCCTGTGATTTAAAATAAAAAAAAATACTTTCAGTGTCGTGGAAATATGCAGTTAAGTACAATAACAATATCAATCGCAACACAGAATTTTTTAAACAGTTTTTTTTACTCACTCACAATAATAAAATGATTTGGTACTTTCTGAAAAAATGTTATTTTATGAAAACAATCACGCTTTCTCCAATAAAATTTATTCTGAATCAAAACTGACTATTCTGGAATACAACTGACGATTTTTTAAATACACCCAGAAAGTTGTAGAATATATAGCCCTTTATACACTTTACTTTGTGTACAATGTTTCGTCAGGTTGGGTCCACCTGCAATATGTATACACGACATACCATGACCTTGGTATGGAAGATGACCATTTAACTACATGTGGACTAAAACAACGCTTAAAAAATCCCATCAATGCAGAATAAGTAGGATGACAACCCTAAGCGACCCATTAGAACATTAAACTTAAAAAGAAATAGTTACCAACACTGTCTTTTTGCCAGACCCACTGTTCACATTTTGAAACACGACGACTATCGGCAAACGACGTCGTTTTGACAACCAACGGTGCCGCGCCACTAAACTGCCTAAGCTTTAGCGGTGGCAGAATTTAAGAATACGAAGAGAAAGATGCCAGCACCATATGCTTTCTAATTTTTCACAATACACGTATCCACCCTGCGCCGTTGCACTCGGCTGGCTCCTCGTGAGGCCTTCAGAGGGAATGATAATTAAAGCAAGCAATTATCTGAATTGTTATCGGTTAGGAATTACGGGTGATGCTCCGCCGTTGCGCTCATTAACATTTAAACACCTCTTGAAATGCTGTCCGTTGCACAGCCAACTTTTTCGCTCGACGCTCCGGCCTGTATCGGGGGCTACGCTCCGGCCTGTACCGCAGGACGCCCCAAATTTAAGAAAAATGCTTTAGGTAATGCGATGACTAGGTACATTCAGTTTTGAAAGGGAAATTCTCTAATATTTCCAAATTTACTAAATAGGTTTAAAAAAATCTAGTTTGCGAACATATAAGCTGTTATTTTAGATTATATTTGTCAGTCATCATAATTTCTTAATTTTGTTGTCAAAGCCTCCAAAGTAAATACTTAACAAATTAAAAAATATATACAGGGTGTCCCGCATAAGAACCGACACAGGGCAGGTGCAAGTAGGGATGTCCAAAATATTGTAATTTAACCAAATTTTAACTGACAAATTTGAAAGATAAATTCATTGCCTACTACTAACTTTTCGATTATTTTCTAATAAACAGAAGTAAAAAAAATTAAATTAAAATTAAAAATTAAATTCTGCTGTGAATTAATATTACTATTTGTCAATTCGGTCAATGAAAAAAAAGTTCGGTACAATTTTAGGGGTGAGTCATCCCCAATGAACACCTTGCAGTGCGTCAATTAACTTTAAATCATAGTCAAAGAGACCAGTACTAAACCTAAATCATGTACCAAATTTGGTTCTTCTGCGGTAAAATAGGATGTTTACGGTTAATATTTTCATGTTGACCTTGGTTTAACCTTGAAACTTAAAATCAAGGACAAACTCAAGGTCACCAACATATTGCATTCCTGATATGCTACAACTTTTATTTGAATTTTATTTTGACGGGACACAATTCTGAAAAGTGATCGGGCGATTTGGTTCTTTTTGGGAGACATTTAATTATAAGGTAAAGCAGAAAATTATACCAATGCCTTACGCTAGACTCAAACTGAGATTACTTCGATATGGAAATTTAAATTTATTCAAAATAAATTAAAGCTATTATGATTTGGACAATAAATCCCTATAATTTTTGAAAAATGTAGGTTTTGTTTTTAATTTTTGTCGATTAAAATAACACCAATTACTTCTAAATAAAAAATTGACATATATTTAGGTAGAGCTTATTTAAAATATCGACAGAAGCAAATATGATTAGAAACATATTTTTTTCCAAAATGGTGTAAAAATTTTTATACCTATTTAAAAATTACGGTAACTTGAGAGAAAGGTCAAATTTGAGTTCACCACATACCTAGTTTATCTGTTTGGATCGACGCCAGGAATATCCCGCAATATATAAACACATTCTCAAGAAAACGCCAGTAACGTTAACCGGTGCTACACCATGCATTTGTTATTAGAAAGTTTACAGTACTACTTGCGGTTTAATTGAATTTGCGCACTTTATTCGTAAATTCATTACCTACACGAAATATATTTTAATCCATCTTCAGAAATTCCTTCGCAAAGAGATTGTTCTAAAGTAAAAATGCACAAGCTGAATCTTGAATGGTGTGGATATTATCAAATGAAATATGGGGAAAATTCCGGAAAATATGGCCTAAAATAAGGACAATGAGGTACTCACTCTGTGCTCTGTCTAAAGTTGTGCATGGCGAACTGCATCAAGGAGTACTTCCCAGAGGGTGGTACTGGGCTGCTGGGCGAGTGTGTCCCCTCGCCCCTTGGTGGAGGTCTAATACTGTTCTCTTGGACGATATTACCGTTAGTGACGTTGTTGGTTGTGGTCTTGGTGGTGTTGGTGATCATTTCCAGCCTTTCCATAGGTGGAGACCTGGATCTTTGGGGGGAGGTAGCGTCTCTGGAAGCCTTCATCTGGATCTGGAAGGAAAGAAGAATGGCGTTAAAATAATACAAACATAATACTAGTAAAATGTGTTATTTCTTCACTTTTTGGCAACTTCAAATGCCAAGGGAGCTGAATTTTTGTTTGTTGGATACATAAACCAATAGTCAAAGGATAATTGCACATTGGGAAGACAATACAATGTAATAAAATGTTACAAAGAGAGAAAATACAACAATACAAAATAAATTAAGAGTTTGAATTGCAATTTTAAACAGAACCAGATCAACCAAAACGTCATTAGTAAAACGTATCAAAGAAAAGGGGGCCAGTATGGTACCACGAGGAACTCCCGAAGTTATCGAAACTTTAATGGATTTCAGTCCACTCACTTCTACGTACTCTTTTCTTCCATACAACATACATCAACCCGTATATTAGCACCCATAAAGTTGGAAATACAGGGTGTTAGGAGTTTGACTGCCTTAATGTTAACAAACGATAGAATACATTAAAATAAGCAAAAAAACCTTATATGACATGGGTCCGAAACTCAACCATTTCCAAGAAATAAATAAATTAAAGGTCTTTTAATAAAATTTGGATTAAGTTTCAAGTTATTTTCAATTCTTGACCAGATAGATGGCCAGAGGTGAATATTTCTCCTTCACAATCTTCAGTAATATGTTTTGGTTGGATATAGTCGCTAACAGTAGTCAATTGGTCTAACAAAAACTATATACTTAGATGATTTAGCGAGACGAAACATTTTCTATGCAGTGAACTCAGTTGAGAATAAATAAAATAATTGCAATTTAATGTAATTAAAAAGATTACAAGCATAATGGTTTACCGTACACCCAGCACTTGTAATTGCATTTATACAGTTGGGTGGTAACTGTTTAAGGCTTTCAATACATCTAAAACGGTAGAGGTACCTCAAGGGTATAACCTTAGGCCATCGACCAACAGATGTCTTATTAACGTCAAGTTCAAACCAACAGTGCTACCGATGTATTTAGTTTTGTTTTAGTAAATGTTTAACTTAAAATGATAAGTCGGTTTTGTTTTGGTCATTTATAAAACTTTGAAAAGTCGTTCTAATAAAATATATACTTCGGAATTAGACTTATAATTGTTTATGCGTTATTCAATAGTTTATTTTGCCTAGTTTAAAATACTCCGGCTAAGTACCATTTGCTTTTTAAAGCTACCAGACACTTTAATCTTAAACAGCAATATTTCTGGCACCTTCCAAATGGAAAATAACTGAACTCTTCGAGAACGAGACGATTTATGGGTGAAACCAGGAATTCCTTAACATCTAAACAACCGATATCCGTAGGAAACACGCCACGTAATGGGTTGTAAGTATTTATAAAGGCCCCATGGGAGATATAAATGGACAAGTTTGTGGTACAACTCCTAATGCTGACGTTAAGTAATATTTCTTTACAAGTGGGATAAGATATGCATGTAAAACGACGTTTCACGGGGACTGTTTACTAGCAGAAGAATTTATATGCGTGTTTCTGTGTTAATGAAATTTTCTGAAGATGTAGTACCTTGAAACAGATATCCTATCGATGCAGTAAAACGTGTGCTGGTATTCTAACTTTTAAAATACCTTCTAGACCAAATCTAGTGGCCGGTGCCCTGTCAAGGCCACATAGATTTGTTGTAATAACACTTATGTCCATTTATTTTATAATGTTTTGATTTGGAATTGGTTCAAAAACTTTTAAACATGGCAAAATAAAAGTATTTCTGCAGTTTTGCGGATAATTGTACGGATAAAATAATAATAAAACACAATTTTGTAGCAGCGGATTCGTAGTAGGTGAAAGTCTGTCTGAAATACATAAATATTGACAGTTATGTTAATTCTAAAATTTATTACTCAATATACATACCTAAACTGTTCTAAATTTTGTTGGACTAATTATTACCTGGAGGTATAGAATTTCGTTACATAACTTGATAGATATCTACTTTGTTTTTATTATACATATATTTTAGTGTTAAGTGTGTGATAGTTCTCTAAGGAATTATATTAGCAATATGAATACTATTTTTAAAGGATTAATTTACTAAGACTACTTTTTAATACATACGAATGCAACACAACGTTTTATTCATAATCACATCACAATCATATTTGTGGAGTCAGAAATATTGGAATTTAATGAAAAAAATATCCGCACGACTTGATATTTCTTACTAGTACTCATATCAATGAAACGTGGTAGGTTTTGTTATACCTACTGATTGTTATGGTACGTTGTTCGTTCATTATCAATTATTTAATAAACAGTTCTATCTGAATTTGGTAAAAATGCAAGAAAGTAATTGTGTTTCTGTGGTTGCTTTTGAAGAAGCTTAAGAAGCAATATTCCATTTATTGCCAGCGAAATCCAAGGAACATTACGAAAAACTGTCCGCAGAATTTAACGAATGGAGGAAAAAACGGAGAGTAATGACAATAAATGATGAAGTTATGCTATAATATTTTTTAAATTAATTAAAAAAGAAAAAATATGCAGTTTCATCTATGCAGTCGAAGTATTCGATGTTGAAGGCTACTATAAAGGTCTACAAAAATAGACATTGGAAAATATAACAAGCTTACTGCTTATTTGAAGAGTGAATCGAGAGGAACAAAGCAAAAAAAGCTGCAGTATTGGAAAAAGCACATACTGAAACATTTTTTGCCTAGGGTTTCCGATAAAGAATATTTAATGATTAAGGTATTATCTCTTTATCTTTTACATGCTGTTAGGTATATAGTGAACTTTGAATTATTTCAGGTTGCACTAATAATGGGGGTTTTGGGTTTCTGTTGCCTGTCGATGCTGCGAACTGACAAATTTAAATTATTGACCTACAGGAAGTTGGCAGTTACCTACTTGTTTCAATACCCGACACCAAGACAGTCATTTCAAGAAAATTTACAATTATAGAAGAAGGATTTTGCGTGAATGCTGTTGAAATATGCAGAAAATATATTTTTCTGCGCCCAACTCGTCTAACACAAGACAGATTCTTTTTAAGATACATCAATCAAAAATGTATTTCTCAGCCTGTTGGAATCAAGACATTGGCGAAGGTACTCTCAATAGTTGCTTCATTCCTGAACATCGCAAATCCAGAAGCATATACTAGCCATTTATGAGGAGCACTTTAACAACTTTATTGGCCAATAAAGGTGCTGATCTTACAACCATCAAACGGCATGGTGGATGGAAGAGCTCCTCTGTAGCAGAAAGTTATGTTGAGGAGTCAGTATCTAACAAACTTGATATTGCATGGAAAATTCAAGGAAAATATAGCTGTTCCTTGCAAGAAGAGACATCCGTAACTTGCGCAAATTCTTCATAAACATCGATAGATGTTATGCGTTCCGAAAATGATGGCAACAATGCTACAAGGGTTGTTATTAACGGAATGGAAGTCAAATGTGATAAAACAAAAAACGAAATGTCTATTACTATAAATGTAAATGTTAATAAGTAGATAAATTAAATTTGATTTATTATAGGTTTACTATTTCTTCATTATTATCGTGAAATAGTCCGATTATAAGGTGATTGTGGATACATCTATTTTTTTTTAATAGTAATAATAAATTTAATAATTAAATATCATTTTTCCTGTTTGTGTATCAAGATACCGACAAGCAACACACTAATCTGTGATCATCTCACTTTTTATGTATAATTAGTTGTATTTTGTCTAAAGTATCTAGATGTTGCTGTCAAATATACAACTAATTTACTTTGACATTCTGTATATTTTCACTAGTTCAGTGTCATTCGATAAAAAAACATAAACAGCATTATTAACAAACATACTAGTGGCATTTAGCAAACGATGTCAATATTATTAATCATACGTTGCAGCTTCCGCTGCTGTTTCGTAGGATATGTGGCAATTCTTACACCTGAGAACTGAAAAAAAAAACTCCGAGTCATTTTCTGCAAGGATAGCCCGTTCTGTTGCGAGAGAAACGTAGTAAAAATGAAATTGAGTCTCACATGGGTAAAAATTAGAAACGTTTCGTCTCCTGTATAACCGTGAAAGGAAACAAATGCGTGTACGTCGGTTTGTTTGGCGCTGTTTTTCTGTATCGACTTTCTTTTGCATACCTCGATGGGATTAATTGCCTCTGGTATTTATTAGAACTTGCGCAATCCACAGATCTTGCCCGATAGCGGGCAATTAACGTTGTTTCTGTTGCGTGGTGTCGGTGAATGTAAATTTTCAACAATTTTAATATACGGTCTTTCCAGAGGTAGACTAAACGACTTGATACATGATAAATGTTCTAGATGATCAAGTTTTAACCATGTTGGTTTGGAAACAAATGATGCTACAATTTTAGTTTAAAAAAATCAAGTACGTCTCGACATAAAATTTAAAAATTATTTATTTGATTCCATCTTTTTCTATTAGTCACTCACTTATATTATTTACTAGCTCGGGAATAAGTGCCAAACAAACATGGCCAACAATCTGGAACTAACGTAAACAATGCTAGTATTGAAAGAAGTTAAAGTTCGAATGAAAAGCTGAGTAATTTTGCCCTGTCTTGAGAAATACTTCAATAATGCTAAGACCACACAAAGCGCTATGCTTCCGCTATATTTGTAGTGGTCGTAATAATGGCTGTTTTCCACGTATATAGCGATTAAAACGAATAAAGCTACCACAGCGACATGTGTGGCATTAAAATCGAACAACGCTGACTATTTTTAATATTCATGGTAAACACAACCAGGACATTGTTTTGTGTGACCGTAATATTGAGTGTATAGCGAATGAAGCGAAGCAGCTACTATGACGCAATGTGTGACATGTCTAAAATCAAACAATATTGGCTATCTTGAATGCACACAGCGAGCATAGCTAACTCAGACAACATAAGTCGTAATATTGCTTATTTTGAACGTGTATAGCTAAGATAGCGAATATACCTACCATATAGCTATTTGTAGAATCAAACAACGTAGTTACTTTTAATTAATACAGCGAATAT